AGGGGGACTGTGGCCTCAGCTCCGCTCCCCTGCCTCGGCAAACCCACCGGTCCAACAGCCCGGGGCTGGCAGCCGCAGGAGCCAGTGGTCAGGATGCCTGCAGAGAGGGTCAGGAGCTCTCTATCGGGACGTGAAATGAAACTGGATCTCGGGCAGCGCTGAGCCGCTCGGGAAAGGCTGTTATTTATAGCAGCCCTTGAGCAGATCTGCACACAACACATCATTGTAACGGATGAGACCCAGCCGAGAGGCCGCCAGCGCAGCCGGAGGGGAAGCTGAGACTCCGCAGACACATGCTTGGTCCTTGCCACCCAGCTGGGTTTGCAGTTAGCCCGAATGAAGCCCATCTACCCCAAACTCCGCCCAAAAGGCTTTCATCCCTGGGCAAGGCTGGAGGAAGCGGTGTTTGAGCACTTGGTTTCGGGGCTGGGGATCCCGCAGGCTCACCACAGGCTCCATCTCAGGCACTCTGTCGCACTTTCTGGTGGCGAGGAGCGTGTTCAGTACCACTCGCCAGCCCGGCTCTGCCTTTGCAGGCTCCTTCTCCGTCTGGGTCGCGGTATCCTCCAGGGCTTCTCCTCCCTCCACTGCATTGACCCAGGGACACCAGTCGCGATGCTGTGAGCTGGGGTCAAAGAAGCTCCTCAAAGAAGTGTCCTGGGTAGGGGAGCAGATGATGATGAAGGAGGACAGCGACAGCATGGTTTAAAACAGATCCCAATGACACAATAAAACCCTCTCCATGCCTAAACACCAGCCCTGAACTGGCCCAGTGCTGTGCTACAGGGACAACACTGGTCCCTGGATCAGTAGCACCCTGCCCAGATCTCTCTCCTCCCCGCCCAGGCTCTCCCTGCGCCCGCACCCGGGTCACTCACTGAGCTGCTGGAAGAGCAGAGCCGTGCCCGCTTGGCTTTGCGGAGAGGACTGGATGGCACCTCCACGTTGTCCCCCTGCCCCATGCTGCGGGTGACGGGGCGGCTCCTCAAAGTGGGGCTGGCCACCTCCAACTCGCCCCGGTCCATGGGGATGGGAGAGTCCCAACCCCGTGGGCGAGAGATGGCCGGGGACGGGCTCTTCTCGCGCTGCCAGTGGGGAAAGAACAAGGAATTAATAAAGCTCCTCTGGTCACCAGCATGTCCTCTGCCTGAAGCGGACAGGGGGGCCCTGCCCAGCTCAAACAAGAGATCAAAGCCTTCTACGCCATCCTGGCAGGAGTCGTGCCACCTTCCCTTCACACCGGGAGCATCTTAGATGTGTCTAGTTGGACTCGGGTGAAGGCAGCCCCTGGTTTGGAGCATCCCGAGTTAGACAAGCCTCAGTACCCTGGCTGGAAAGGCGCTTTTTTTGCCCTCCCGCAGGAGGGCTGAGGGAGGGGAGGACAGAGAGCTGCAAAGGGCAGGGGTAAAGGCAGCATCTGTTGGATGTTGCCCATGGTTGAAGACACGGCACCAAGATGAGCCTCTTTCAGAGTAAAAGGCAGCGGACACCCAACCCTCATCAGTCTCGACTCCTGTGTGGTCCCGTATCACCCAGACATCCCAAGCTCACGGGCCGGCTGAGCTGGGCCATACCTGCTCAGAGCCCGGAGGGAGCGTGTCTTGGCTCCGCGTGAGCATCCTGCGCGGAGACGTGGGCACGAGTGGTAAGCGCTCGGCGGATGCCGGCGGAGTGCCGCTCGGGCCGCAGGAGTCCAGCTCCGGCCCCGCAGACTCCAGCTGGTGAAAGCCCCACAGTCCCACCTTCCTCATGCAGCGGGAGCAGGTGATCACCGAGAGGTGCACGGAGCCAGACGCAGCACTGCGGGGACAGAGCCAAGTCACAAGAGAAGGTCAGGGACGAGCGTGTGCCCTTCCCCAAAATCGCAGCTTTCGGAAGAGATGCAGGTATTTGGCAGAGCACAAGAACGGTCTCAGTCACAGGTACCTGAGCCAGGACGTTTCAAGACATCAGTACCCCTGGGCTGAGGCACAGACTTAGTGTTTTTGTAGCCCTGTGTACTACGAAGTAAAACGAGTCCATTAAAACCCATCTATAGCATTGATTTAAACTGGCTCGGTTACATTTTGGCTTGTCGTGAAGCAGGAGCACACTCAGTTGTGGCATATCAGCCGAGAGCTTCCCCATCCTCAGGCCCCCAACTGCCCAGCCACAGCGGCAGCG